CCTGCCCAACAGCAATGGCTCCCGGGGGAACTGCGGGAGCCCTGCCGTGGGCATCCTCTTCTTCACCACCTACATCATCATCTCCTTCCTCATCGTGGTCAACATGTACATCGCCATCATCCTGGAGAACTTCAGCGTGGCCACGGAGGAGAGCACGGAGCCCCTGAGCGAGGACGACTTCGACATGTTCTACGAGATCTGGGAGAAGTTCGACCCGGAGGCCACCCAGTTCATCGAGTACTCAGCCTTGTCCGATTTTGCCGACGCCCTGTCTGAGCCGCTCCGGATCGCCAAGCCCAACAAGATAAGCCTCATCAACATGGACCTGCCCATGGTGAGCGGGGACCGTATCCACTGCATGGACATCCTCTTTGCCTTCACCAAGAGGGTCCTGGGCGAGTCTGGGGAGATGGACGCCCTGAAGATCCAGATGGAGGAGAAGTTCATGGCCGCCAACCCGTCCAAGATCTCCTACGAGCCCATCACCACCACGCTCCGGCGCAAGCACGAGGAGGTGTCGGCCACCATCATCCAGCGGGCCTTCCGGAGGCACCTGTTGCAGCGCTCCCTGAAGCACGCCTCCTTCCTCTACCGCCAGCAGATGGGCAGCAGCGGCGTCTCGGAAGAGGATGCCCCGGAGCAGGAGGGCCTCATCGCCTACATGATGAATGAGAACTACTCCCAGCGCCATGGCCCACCCTCCAGCTCCTCCATCTCCTCCACATCCTTCCCACCGTCCTACGACAGCGTCACCAGGGCCACCAGCGATAACCTCCAGGTAAGGGGGTCTGACTACAGCCACAGTGAAGACCTCCCAGACTTCCCCCCGTCCCCGAACAGGGACCGTGAATCTGTCGTGTAAGCCGTGCCCGGCGGGCCAGCGCACAGCATTGTGGCAAACCTGACTGCAGCCCCAGACCAGCAGTCGCTGGGCTGTCCTGGCTTTGGGCTTTGGGAGTGAGAGGTGAGCCTCGCCCTGCAGAGTCCTGAGGCATCGCGCGGAGGGCGGGCAGCAGCTGGCCGAGCAGGCCGCTCGGGGAGGCCCATCGGAGAGGCTCCACGTGTAAGTACCGGTCCTGGGGGGCCTGGTCTGGTCAGGCGGCGTCCGGGGGCTCTGATCAGCACCTCCAACCCCGCTGCTGAGACAGAGCACAAAACAGACTGTATGTTGTGAATGGGCTTTCATAAATTTATTATATTTGGTATTTTTTTACTTAAGCAAAGAACTTTTTTTCCCACGGACGGACAGCAGTTCACACTGCCGCCTCTTAACTCTGAACAAGTGTGTCTGAAGCTGCTGGAACTCAGTTCTCAAAGCAAGAGTGAGATCCAGTGTGGCCCCACTGGCCTTCACTGCCCAGGGGCAGAAAAGGGTTCCCTGCCGCTTGGACGGAGGTGCCACGAGGGCTGAACCCCTTCCCTCACATGACGTGTGCGCACACACACGTACACTGAGGCCAGACAGGCCACGTGTGTCCCGGGCTCCCTGGGGGCGAGCGCCAGGCAGCCTGAAGGCAGTAGGCCTCTCCTCCTGGCCCCCAGCAGGGAGGATCTTGTCAGCCTCCCATTGTCCCCCAGGCCCCCTTTTCACCATGTGTTTTTATGCAGGCCACCCTGAGGTCAGCTCTACAAAAACAAGCTTCCAGAAGGAGCGGCCTGGGTCCCAGGGCTGGTCCTCGGCACTGATGTTGCCTTTCTTCCCCAGAGAGCTCGGCTTTCTGTTAAGAGTATTAACATTAAGCTCAAGAGCATGAGGGAAGCAGCCCCATTCACCCTGGGGCTGCCTGGGCTGAGAAGCTCCGCAGCCGTCGGTGCGGCAGCCCCAGCCCACATGGGTAAGGGAGTCCACTGTCATCACCCAGGCTCGCTCTCTCCATCTTTCTGACTCTGGGTGGGGGGATTTCTTGCTCCTCACCAGACGCAGCGGCATGGGGATGGGGAGGGCAGCTTGGGCCCTGTGCGGGGAAGGGGCCTCGGGACGGCCAGGCCGGTCCCTGTGTGGGGAATGGACCCTGGACGAGTCCCCCCGGCTGAGTCCCCCCGGCTCAGCCCAGGTCGGGGGGGGGGGTCTAGGCTGCCCACAGGTCTGGTGAGCAGGCCTTTTCAGGGAAAAATACTTTTTCTAGTCCGGTTACCCAGCGGGCCTCTTGTGCTGCTGACAATCCTACTTAGCATATGCAAATCTTTTAATGTAGAGGACTGTCACCCTGAGAGTGACAGTGGTGGCTGGTGGAGCCTGAGCAGGCAGGCGCTCGGCTGCCCAATTCCAGTCTCCAGCAAAGCCACCCCCCACTTGGTGGCCACCTCACAGGCCGCCTCTCGGGGCAGCCCAGGAAGCCAGAAGCTGGCTGTCCTAACCTACCTCGCCGAGCCGTCGGGGGCTGGCCGCAGGGAGCTGAGGGGGCACCGCCGCCGAGTCAAGTATTACATTTCTTCTTGTCACCCGGGCTCCCCTGGGGGCAGTCCCAGCCCCCACCCACCTCCACCCCAGTGATCTCTCCTCCGTGTTCCCTTGGAGTCCAGCATGGGACAGGGTTTTAACTGTCCCAGCGACACTTTGAGTGGAAATCTTATTTTTGTAGCTCTCTGTGCTGCGCTGTGCTCTCAAGGCTTGGAGAGGTGCGTGCCCTCCCCGGCACCCTGCTCCCGCTGCAGGGCAGGAATGCGGCGGGGAGGCCGGCCCGGCTGCAGGCCCAGCCGTCAGGAGGAGACTAGGGTTTGTGTGTGGGGACAGCCCAGTAGCCTGAGACTGGTATCTGGGGCTGGCCGCTGGCTGCACACGGCGTGGCCGAGGGCAGGGCTGAGCTAGAGCCGACTCCGTAGCTTTTCGCGTGGCTCTCGTTGCTTTTTTTCCAGAACTGCACGATGACCAGCAGGAGGGGAGGAGAGGGAGGACACAGGAGGGCGGGCAAGCATCCAGTGTCAGCTGTCGTCTGAACTACTTGAGCACTTCTCACCAAACTTCGTGCATAAAGAAGATTCATATTTTTAAAACAAACCAATAAATGGCTTACATGACCTGGCCTGGGCTGTTCTTTTTTTAATTGAGGTATAGTTAATTTACGATGCTGTGTTAGTGTCCAGCCCGCCAGCCTCTGTAGCCACATCTCTTCAATCCCTCAAAGACCCCAGGCTCTTCCTCCTGTCAGCCCTGTCAGCCTCTGCTCCCATCACCCAGAACACTCTTCTCCGGGCCTCATCTTCATGTCACCTCCTCTGGGAGCCCTCCCTGACCACCACCACCTGTCCGCCTCTTCGTACTTACCTCTCCCCGCACCTGACACGTTCTCATTGCCGGCACCTGCAAAGCCAGCAGGTAAAGGAACATGACCTCAGTGTCAGCAAATCCAGCCTTAATGTTTGTCTCCCCCTGGCCCTTTCAGCTTGGATCAGTGGGGACCATCTTCCCTAGCCCTGCATGAAACCCAGCCTGATCCTGGGGCTTTTCCACTCCATCTTGGGTAAAACAGCAGCCTTCAACTGCTCTTGTTGGAAATACAATCCTAGCCTCACCCTGAGGGTGTCCAGTCCCATGACAGTTGGAGACCAGGGGGGTGGATGGCTACAAGGGACTCAGATGGGCATCTTCCAGCTCCCTGGAGACACCCTGCTGCCCCACCCCCGCAGTTTCCTCCACCCAGGAGGTGCATTCTCTTGGGTGCTTCATGACCCCTTCCTTTGCCCAAGGGGACCTAGGGGTCCACCCCCAACCTCTTCCTGCCAAGCCCCTGGGCCCTCCTGGGGGCCCCGCTGTGGTGGCTCACACAGGCCCTCTGCCCACTGCCTCTGGTCCATGGACGCACTCACCCCATCCTTGCTGGCGTGCGGCCTGGCCCCAGCAGCAGGGTGTTCACGGCCACCACCACAGCAGCTGGCCCAGGATCCTCCTTCCGGGTCCCAGAGCTGAAGTCAGGCCCAGTCACTGGTCCACTTGAGCTTTCTCAGGCCCAGCAAGGCCCAGTCCTCTGTGTCCAAGCTCTCCAAGAAGGCACTGGAATGCCCTCAGCAGGCCTAGGTTAGAAAGTGGCACCCTTTAGACACAGGCCCTCCCCAAGGAGAACGGCACAAGGTCCTAGAAACAACTCAAGACAGTTCTCTCCAAGAAGCCTGCTCACTGCCTCCCTCAGCCCTCTGCTCTCTTGGACCCCTTTTCATATCCTTGGCGTGACTATGGGGTCCCAATAAACCACTGCATATGGAAAACACATGGTTTGGCATCCTGAAACCCTTGGCATTGGACCTGGTCAAAATTGGGGCAGACAGTCCATACTAACGTCCTGTGACACTTGTTCAATCGTCTCTCCCAAACAGGGCTTTTCAAGGGGCAGGCCATGTCCCAGTCTAGTGGGCCATAACTAGCTTTTTAAAAGATATCAGAATTTAGAATAGCAGCGTATGCTCTGTGCTAAGGATGTGCTGTTTTGTGGAACTATTGTTTCAGATATACATAGAAACCTTGGGTGAGTGCCTGTGTGTACACTGCGCGGTGAAGGAAAATACACTTCGTACTAGAAATCCCAGCGAAGAGTGAAAACAACATGAGGACAGGGTCCAAGTCTGCCTTACTCAGCACTGCAGCCGGGGCCTCGCTCAGCAGCCGGCACGTGGCAGTGGGAGGTGTGAGGGGAGGGGAGGCTACAGCTGTAAGCGGTGAAGGGGCCAGGCCTCCCCCCGACAAGCCCCCGGTCACTGCCACTCTGTCTGGGTCAGCACGGCGGCTTCCCTACCTTTCTGGAAGCCAAGACCTGGGGTCTGGGCCCCTTGTGTGGGGCCTTCCCTGGCTGCGTGAGGGGGCCTGGGAGGTAGCAGGCTCATCTGGAGGGGGCACGTGTGGGCCTTGAGGTCACTACGATGCCGCAGCTGTCACCGGACCACTCCGGGGTGAGGCTGGGGTCCAGGCTCCAGGAGGGTCAGATGCCAGCTCCTGTGTCAGAGGGAAGGCATGAGGCCCTGGAGGGATCTCAACCCTTGGCAGGGAGAGATGCTCCCAAACAGACGTCAGCTCTCACCCTGGGCCACAGCCCTGGCAGCTTGCGGCCCTGTGCCAGCGGCCCTTCCGCCTCAGCCCTAATGACCACGAGACTCTGCCCAGGAGCTGGGAGGGGCAGACAGCTCAGGCCTCGCTCCTACAGGCAGAGACAGAGCAGGCACGACCAAGAGCTAGGAGACGCCAAAGGCCTCTGCCGATGGGCTGGGGAAGCCGCAGGACTGGTGTCTCCTGCCTGCACCCCTTCCAGGGTCGGAGCCCACTGACCCGTGTGCTGCCCACAGGTCTGACAACTGGGGAAGGCCAGGCCGGGCCGGCCTGCTCACACCACGCTCTCCAGCCTCCACCCTGGTGCCTGGCACAGGTACAAGCCCGGAAATGTTAGCACAAGAGACACCCCATCAACCCCGCTGTCTGCTGGGCTCACCTGGACCCCTTCTTGCATTTGCATCCTTCCTGTCCTCTGAGGCCCAGTCCCTTTTCTCACCAGCAATCCCATCTTCCACGCTTCGTTGTCCTGGAAGGAAGTCAGACACAGAGCCATGTGATATCCTCCCCTGCATGGAGAGGCACATGCAGATTCACACACGTTCATAGTCAAGGCACAGAAACCAGGGTCCGTGTCAGGGAGGGTGCACAGCGTGACCACAGGGAGACACCTGAAATCCCAGGAATGAGTGAACCTCAGGCTTCCTGTCCCAACCCCCCAAGCCCCCAGGGACAGAGGCAGGCAGGCCAGGGGTGGGGGCCGAGAGACTTCATTCAGAAATGATACCCAAAGGTTGGTAGCTGCCAAGCTCTACCCGGGGGGAATCCAGAGAGACCCCAGCAGCCCCACACTCTTGCGGGTGTCCCAAATCAGCCTGAATGGCAGGGGCCAGGGCCGGGCCAGCCCAAGCCCAGCACGAATAATGACCACCCTGACAGGCACTTCCTCCCACGCCAGCTCACAGGGCTGGCATTCAGGGGCAGCTGCCAGGCACCTGCTGCCGGACAGAAAAGCCCCATCACCCCAGCCTTTGCGGAGAGACAGGCCGGCTCGAATTCCAGAAAGGCGTGCAAGTCGAAGCAGAGCTGCCCTCCCGGATGTGGGCTGACCGGCCGGCGGTATGTCCTGTCCTCCCGCCCCACTCCGTGCTGGCCTCGGGGTGCAGAGCCTCGGGAGCGGGGGCCGGCATTAGGCGCAACTGACCAAGGAGCTGAGCTGGCCGCCAGTACTGCTCTTGGAGCCGTGTCTCCTGGGGACCATCTGTCTGTCACTCACCCTCTCAGGCTGCACCCCCTCTTCCTGGACGGCCGGGGACCAGGCTGCTTCTGCGTGCAAGGCTGTGGGAGGCATCGCAAGGATGGTGGAGGACGGAGAGGGCTTGACCAAGCGGCGAGGCTGGCTCAACAGAGATAATTGGGCCTCCAGTATCCTGTATCAATCCATCACATTTATAGTCTTCTCTCCAGACAGGAGACAAGGAGGAAATGACAAAAGCCAATAAAGCCAATAAATAAAGGGTAATGGAATAACCAGTATGTGCAGCCCATCCCCTGAGCCCCAGAGGCAGAGCAGAGCTGAGCCCCTCCCTCCTGTCTCTGTCTTGACTTCA